CAGAGACACACACACACACATATGTATGAAGTTTGTCTGTGGTTCTGCAGGTTCTTCTGCTGGTGGTTCTGCTCTCATGGGGATTTGTCATCTACGGCACACGAATCGCCGCACAATGGGAGCTCGAGAAACGAGAAAAGATAAAGACGTAAATCAGCCGACATCAGCTGAGACGCTTCGACAGCCCTGGATTCACTTCAGACGAAAAACCTTCCCAAAACCCCTCAGGAAAACCAGCAGAAACCAGACTCAATCCATGCCACACATCTCTTCATCATTTCTTATATGCAATGTGATTTTTGTCTTTGTTTCATTCAATGATGTAAATACTTCCATTTTGTAATTTTTTTTTAAATTAAATAATTATGTTTCTTTAGCTCTGACTCTGTATTTTTGACACAATATCAGGCCACTAGGTGGTGTAGTGCACTAGAAACAGCGTAAGCGCACTATATAGGGCTTGTGTGAGAGCAGAGATCCTGGAATATCCCACAGTATTCACTGACGCTGCAGAGAGAGTGAGTGTAAGACAGGCTTCTGACCGCTTTACAGAAGTCATGCAATCAAATTATTGCTGAAAAAGTCTGAGAACAACGGAAATGGAACAAAAGGTTATGAATTGTAAGATTAATGTTGGCAGTTCAATATAAATATAAAGGGTTTTCATTGGTTCCAGTGTTATTATAGTATCACTGAGATACTATTATAGTTTTTAATACTATAATTAGTCATTTATATATATCATTTATACATTTTATTACATGATTATGAAATAATATAATTTAATGTTTAATTTGTTAAACGTTTGGTTATTTTCTTGTGATTTGTCTTTTTTTTTATATGCCTACATATGTTTGAAATAATTTTTTATTTCAGTTTTAGTTATTTTGTACATCAAAATAAATCAAAATGAGAAATGTTGCCTTGGCAACTAGCTTAAATAACAAATTAAAAAATAAAGTTTTTTTTATATACATTTTATTTCAATTAATGATTATATTAAGTAACAAAAGTGTTTTTTTATGGTTTTCATTTTAGTTATTAACACCGATTTGTTTTTTTACGGCGCATTTTTTATATTGCTATTTAGCTTTAATTTATATCTATTTCAGTTTTAGTAGTTTTTTTTACTTTAACTTATTTCAGTTAGTTGCCAAGGCAACATTTCCAATTTCCATTTAAGTTTTTAAATCTAATATTTATATTTTATTTCAACTTTATTTCAATGAACAAAAGCACATTTTGATAGTTTTAGTTAAAAATAAGACTGGATATACAATCTCACAATAATACTTAATTTAAATCACTTAATTTTTTGCAGATACTAGCTGCTGAAATAGAAAATGCAAAGTTAATTTACAGTTAAGTACCATCATATTTAATGAATACCATCAAGATATGTACAGTGTACATTTTAGGACATCCTCAGACCTCAGTCATTAAATGAAAAGGCGTCATGCCTCAGACTAAAAGGCTTCAGTCATTGGACAAAACGGCATCGCGCCTCAGACTGAAAAGCTTCAGGTCTCAGGAAAAACGACGTCAGGTGTCAGGTCTCATACAATCAGACGAAAGGGACTCAGACGAAAAGGCATCAGACGAAAAGGCATCAGACGAAAAGGCATCAGACGAAAGGGCATCAGACGAAAGGGCATCAGACGAAAGGGACTCAGACGAAAAGGCATCAGACGAAAAGGCATCAGACGAAAAGGCATCAGACGAAAGGGCATCAGACGAAAGGGCATCAGACGAAAGGGACTCAGACGAAAAGGCATCAGACGAAAAGGCATCAGACGAAAAGGCATCAGACGAAAGGGCATCAGACGAAAGGGCATCAGACGAAAGGGACTCAGACGAAAAGGCATCAGACGAAAAGGCATCAGACGAAAAGGCATCAGACGAAAGGGCATCAGACGAAAGGGCATCAGACGAAAGGGACTCAGACGAAAAGGCATCAGACGAAAAGGCATCAGACGAAAAGGCATCAGACGAAAGGGCATCAGACGAAAGGGCATCAGACGAAAGGGACTCAGACGAAAAGGCATCAGACGAAAAGGCATCAGACGAAAAGGCATCAGACGAAAGGGCATCAGACGAAAGGGCATCAGACGAAAGGGACTCAGACGAAAAGGCATCAGACGAAAGGGACTCAGACGAAAAGGCATCAGACGAAAGGGACTCAGACGAAAAGGCATCAGACGAAAGGGACTCAGACGAAAAGGCATCAGACGAAAGGGACTCAGACGAAAAGGCATCAGACGAAAGGGACTCAGACGAAAAGGCATCAGACGAAAAGACATCAGACGAAAGGGACTCAGACGAAAAGGCATCAGACGAAAAGGCATCAGACGAAAAGGCATCAGACAAAAGGGACTCGGGTGGAGTGTCGTGTTGCCCCGCCCCATGTGTCGTCACACGCACGCGGTTCAGAGGATGTGGTATGGAATGGTTGATTCCTTATCGTTTCGTCTGATGCCTTTTTGTCTGAGTCCGTTTCATCTGATGCTTTTTGTCTGAGTCCGTTTCGTCTGATGCCTTTTCGTCTGATGCCTTTTTGTCTGAGTCCGTTTCGTCTGATGCCTTTTTGTCTGATGCCTGATACCTGACGTCCGTTTCGTCTGATGCCTTTTTGTCTGATGCCTTTTTGTCTGAGTCCGTTTCGTCTGATGCCTTTTTGTCTGATGCCGAATACTTTCCGTACCCACTGTATATATAGTTGCTATATGATTTCTTAGCGATGAAGTTGTGTTTGATTAAAGTTTGAGTGGATGTTTTTCTCTCAGAGCCGTGTTTGAGGTGAGGCAGATCTATAATGACCGGAGCGTTCCATGCGTCTGCTGTTCTCTCTCTGATGTTAATTAAATTATTGAGTGAATGGCTCTTTTGTGCTCGTGTGCCGCTCACACATTTCATTAGCCCTTCAGACCCCTGATTATTCCTCTCACCACAGAGAAGCTCTCGTCTCTTTCACATTTACAATCAGTGTGTGTGTGTGTGTGTGTGTGAATGAGTGTCTCTCTCTGTGTGTGTGTGTGTGTGTGTGTGTGTGTGTGTGTGAGTGTCTCTCTGTGTGTGTGTGTGTGTCT